CTCTTTTTCCTAGGACTCTTGCCCCTTATCCATTTATCCGCCTATCTCGGATTCCGATATCTTCGGAGATCACCTCGGCCTCGCCAAAGATAACCTCGGCATAACTACCAAGACACGTGGCACCTCGGCTGACACGTCGGCGTTACCATGCCACGTGTTGGTATTCAGAAAATACATCTCCACAGTTTTTTTTTTTTTTTTTTTTTTTTTTGTGTGTTACATTAGGGTGTTACACTAAATTTTTTGTACTCCTTTAAAATGTGTGAAAAATCCCACATCTTTTCGGAATGTTTGAAGAATCTTATTTTTCAAGTCATTTTTGTACTCATTTTGAAATGTTTTCCAAATAAAAAAGATTTTCATATAAAAATTAATCCAATTTGATTCCTATACATTGTGTACTTTACCTTTCTAACGCAAAAGAAAAAAAAAATAGAAGGAAACATAATAGAAATAAGGGTATAATAGAAGGAAACATAATAGAAATAAGGGTATAACTGTAAATCTAATTTTTAAATAATTTATTAAATCTATCTTTCCAAAATCAATGGGACTAATTGGTCTATAAAAAAAATCTTTAGGACAAATGGATCACCATTCCTCAAAATGGGATTTATAGGTAAATTTTCCTAAATTTTATCATTGATCAAAAAAATTATTTAAAAGTTTGGGCGAAAAATTCAATCTTAGATTTTTCTTGCTCAAATGTTCAGGCGCTAATTTATTATGCCTATAAGGACAAGTTATCAGGTAATTATTCAGTAATCTCGGAGTATGGACACGTGGTATTCCATAATATTATGATTGGTTGAGAAGGTGGATATGTGGAGTATTGTGTTAGTAATTGAAGAACATGAAAGAACATATTAAATAATGATTGGTTAAAAAGTACAGAGACGTGATACTCCGAAAATATTGAATAATTTCCCTAAGGTATCATACAATGGCTAAAAAATACCCCTTCACTTCCACTCTCGCTTTTATTCCTTTCTCTTTGCTCACAAAAATCAAACCCTTACCCCTTTCTCTCTCTCTCTCTTCACCGTCATGTCCTCTATCCTTATATTGTGTTTGGTTGGGGGATTTAAGAAGGGTTTTAGAAAGGGAAAGGGAAAATGTATGTGAAACTAGGTGAAATGTAGGTATATTTTATTTACATTTCGCATATCTTTTTCATTTCCCTTTCCAAATCCCCTTACCAAATACAACATTACTATCACCTCCACCACTATGGATGTTTGGCCTCTCTCTCCCTCTCTCACAGATTGTTGTTTTCTCTCTCATAGGGCACCGCCGTCGTGGATGGACCAAAAACCTTTGATATAGCAAATAGAGAATTCCACATCTCAGATCTCGTTACGATGGTGCAGATCAGAGGTCGTTGACACAAATATGAAATTTGCGCTCAATTACATCTTCGATCAGTTCGTCGATGTCAACTTCGTGAACGCTATGTGGTTGAGAGTAGAGGGAAGAGAACCAGAGAGGGATTTAAAGGGGTGGTTGATAACGGTGACGTAGTTGGAGGAGTCGTAGTCAATGTCAGACCAAGAGTTAGGGTTGGTACCGGTCTAGTCAAAAGGGAGAGAGGAGAGGGTAATAATGAGTTTGTTCATTATGGCGATAGTTGATGTCAAATTTGGCCTCTCTCATTGAACTCAAACCCTAAGTCTTTTTCCTCTTTCAAAACTAAGCCTTCTTCTACCGCTTCTGGTCCCCACCACAATAGCACTAGTTCCCTCGTCGGCGGCATCTCCTACAAGGACGATTCTCTAGCTCTCTCTCTCTCTCTCTCTCTCTCTCTCTCTCTCTCTTTCTTTCTTGATTGTCTTGGTTGTTGTTATATAATTATGATGGTGTGTGGTGTTGATAGGTGTATTTATAAGGGAAAATTGATGAATGTGGACACAGACTATCTCAGATGTTGAATGCCATTATCAAAAGGAAGTGCAACAAGTTCATTCGGAAAAATTAAAGCTCTGTTTGGTGAAAGGAGAGAGTCAAGTGTGGTTTGACGAGAGAGATAGAGAAGAGATAGAAAATAGTCTCGATTTTTGTTTGCTTTGAATAGATAAAACAAAAATTGAACAAATATGGGAAATAGGAAAGAGCAAATTCTAAAAAGGCTCAGATAACAAACACAGATCAGATCACCAGTTGGAAAAATAATTTGAACAAATAGTGGTTTTGTATCTATATGTTTCTTTTTTTTTCTTTTTTTTTTATTTTTTTATTTTTTTAAGATTTGAGCTCAAATCTGATAAAGGCTCATATTGAACAAATAGTGGATTTGTGGATTTGAACATATAGTGGATTTGTGGATTTGAAAAGATAAGATTTTGTTTGGTTTGGTATTTTAACATATAGAAAAATAAAAATAAAAATTGAACAGATAGGTGTAAAAATTTAGCAGTAAATTTCAATATATAGCAAAAAATTGAACAGATAAGGAAAAAAATTTAAAACAAACAAAAGGACTTCCTGTCAAACTATTTCACAAAAAGTGAACCTCTTATCAATAAAAAAATATCTACTAAACCTAATACCTTACACACCCTCCAAATTAAATCCATTACAAATTTTTTCTTAGAGCAAATATTGATTAGATATTTCCTATAAAATTTTCTCAATTCATAAAATACAGTTGGAATAAAAAAGCCACCCACATAAGAATGACAACGGGGCACGGCGGGGATCACACTCCCCGTCCCCAATCCCCCATGGTAAAAAAATTTCCGTCCTCGGCTTCAATCCCCGACAGGGAACTTATCACTGTCCCCGTCCCCGCCTCGTAATGGGGATCGGGTTTTCCCGACCCCAAAATTTCCCGGACCAACAAAAAAAAAAAAACCAACCAAATAGAGAAGGAAAGAGATCAACAAAAAAAAAAAAAACCAACCAAATAGAGAAGGAAAGAGATCAACAACAACATCATCAACATCATCAATAACAACATCATCAAATAACATAAACAATAACATCATCAACATCATTAGATCTGAGTAGAGAGAGAGAGATCTGCTCAGATCTGCCGTGGCTTAGGGAACCGACGCCGAAGGAGAAAGAGGTGGCGCTCAGCGATGATGTTCGGTGCTCTTTCTCTCTCTCTCTCTCTCTCTCTTTCTCTCTTTGCTCTCTGCTCTCTTTGTTCGGAGGAAGAGGTAGCGCTCGTCGTCATCGTTGTCGTTAAAGGTGGCGCCGATTCGTTGAGAGACAGTGATGAAGAGAGAGATAGAGTAGAGAGAAGAGAGAGAGAGAGAGAGAATAGATATGAAATGAAAACAAAAAGATGAAATGAGAGAAAGAGAGAAACGAAACAACTAATAAAAAAGTATATTATATATATATATATCATTTCGGGGGATAAACGGGACGGGGCCGGGGCTTGGGCATTTATCACCGTCCTCAGCCCGAAATTGATCGGGGATTAATTTTTAAATATCATCCCCGTCTCGTCGGGGGTATTTTTCGGGAAAAACCCGTTCAAATCGAGGCCAGGAGATTGGGTCCCCATGGGGTCAATTTTAAATTGCCATCCCTACACCTACCCTCCATCACAAATACGAAAAGTTATTCGGTGGTTCTAAAATATAGTTTTATGATGCTTCATGCGTGTCTTGATTAATGAAAAGAATGAGACTTACAATTATACGTCAAGTAGTTAAAAAAAATATAAAAATATAAAATTTTATAATTAATTAAGAACATAATCACGTCAAAACTTGATGCAATCAATTATTTTTTCCCAAAGGGTTTATTTGGCATGAAGGTTTGGGTTAGATTGTGTCTATTTTAATCACAAAAAAATAAAATAAATTTTTTAGTCTAATAAGATAAAATATTATATCTAAATCATAATTATTTCATTTTTTCTCTCACGAAAATTTAAAAAACTAAAAAGCCCATCCAAATAAAAAAAAATTTAACCTCAAATTAAAGGGGTATTTTGAAAAGTTAGTTAAAAACTGATTTTTTTACTTTTTTAATCAATTTTATTTTTTTATGAGTAAGTTATATGAAAAGTATTGGTTTCCAGTTTTCCAAAACACTTTTCAGAAAATTCTACTTTCTTATTTTCTGTGTTTTGTTTTTACTGAATTTTTTTTAATATTTTAAACAATTTTTTTACTTTTTAGACACACCTAACATAAATACACCTAAAAAGTAAAAAAATTGTAAATTTTTTTTTTTAAAAATTCACTAATACCAAAAATATAAAAAAATATAAAAATTCAGTATATTTTTTGTATTTTTATGTATTTATTAATTTTTTAAAATATTTTTTCACAAATTTTTTAATTGTTGTGAAAAAATCTTTAAAAAATTCACTAATACCAAAAATATAAAAAAATATAAAAATTCAGTATATTTTTTGTATTTTTATGTATTTATTAATTTTTTTAAAATATTTTTTCACAAATTTTTTACTTTTTAGATACATCTAAGTAAAGTGTATCTAAAAAAGTAAAAAAAATGTTTAAAATTTAAAAAATATTCACTAAAAACAAAAAAAAAACACAAAAATCAAAAAAGTCAATTTTTAAAAAACTTAATCCAGAAAACTCAAACCAAACACAGTGAATGTGACTTAAAATAAGTTAAAAATTAGGGTAAATTACATTGACACCCCATGAGGTTTATGTTTATTACAATTTTCTCCTCACCTTTTGAAAACTACATCCCCTCCTTAAAGTTTAAAGTTTTATTACAGATTGCCCCTTCAGGTTTAAAGTTTTATAATAGTTCCTCCCTCACTGTAATGATCATCATACATAAAATTAAATTAATAGGAAATCAGTGTAATTTTCTAAATGTGAGGAGGAAATTGTAATAAACATAAATTTTAAAGAAGTCAATGTAATTTATTCTAAAAATTAAAAATTAACTTTTAATAACTCATTAAACAAATCAAAATAATTGAAAAATTAAAAAGTAAACGCACACCTCAAACAAAGGTAAAGACGGCCAACACAAAGTCACACCTCAAGTCACACCTCAATCCACACACGTATCCCGAACCCTCTCTCTCTCTCTCTCCCCTCTAAACCAGAAAAAACAGTAACAGTTTCCGCATTCCCACCAAGAAAATATAACTAGAAACTTTCCCACTCGTCCCCCACATTTTCCAACAAACCAAACATGCATATCTACTCTCTCTACCTCCTCTCTCTCATCCTCACCACCTCCTCCACATCTCTCTCTCAACCCACTACCCAACTCACCATTCTCATGTCCATCAAAGCCTCTCTCGACCCCCAAAACCTCCACCTCTCCTCTTGGTCCTCCTCCTCCACCGCCGACCCGTGCGACGGTTCCTTCGATGGCGTCGCCTGCGACGAGCTCGGCCGCGTAGTCAACATCTCGCTGCAAGGCCAAGGCCTCGCCGGAAAAATACCGGCGGAGATTGGTCAGCTGAAGAGCTTGTCTGGGCTCTACTTGCATTTCAATGAGCTCAATGGAGTTGTGCCAGAGGAGATAGCGAATCTCAGTCAGCTCTCTGATTTGTATCTCAATGTTAATAATCTTTCTGGGGAAATACCTCCTGTGATTGGAACCATGGCTAATCTCCAAGGTTAGTTTTGGGTTTTTACTTTTCTTTCATTTTCGTGGGAAAGTTACAATATGGGGGAACCACCTGCAGGGGAGAACCAAAAAAAAATTACCAAGACATGGAGGGGTACAAGTGACACTTACATATCTCAGAGTCTTTCATTTGCACCTCACCACAAACACACTTATACCTCACGTGTTTGTATGTTTTTCCCCTCTCCCACCAGTCGTTCTCCTTACAATATTGTTTATTGGATCCGTGTATATATGCTTCTCTGTATTGAATGTATAGTATTATCTGTTCTACATTTTTGTGGGTATTCTTGTTTGAGTGAATTGGTGAAGTTTACTTTGTGATTTGTGTGTATAGGGTAAATTACACTGATCGTGATCTCCTGATGTTTAAGTTTTCATAATTATACTTCCATCTTTTTTACTATGTGTAGTAAGGTTAAACAGACTAAAACTAATGCAGATAATGTAAAAAATTTAAATAAACTGAAACTATTGTTGATAATGCGAAAATACAAAAATAAATAGCGTAAAATATGCATTTTTGTATAAAAGAAGAGATGATAATATATATTTTTTATCCATATAACTAATAAATTATTAATAAAAATAATCTAAGTGTTATATAAATTAAAATTTCAAGAGAGCTTAATGTAATTATGTTAAAATTATATGACTTACTATTTTTTCTTCAACCCTCAAGGACACCTAAGATTCAGAAAAAATACAATAAGACCCACAAAGTTGGCATGATTACACCGCCAATCTCTTTTAGTAAGACTAAAAGTATCTGAATTAATATAAATGATGGGTAGACACTTGGATAAAGAAGGTAAAATATATATTTCAGTATGAAAGAGATGATAACATTGTTTTTCAAAATTATTGATAAAAAAAGACTAAGTGGCGTGTGAAATAAATTTTTTAGAGAGCTCAATGTAATTATACCTAATTTATGGGGCTCAATGTATTTTTTTTAAACTCATGGAATGTTAGTGTAATATATCTAGAGCCACACGTCGCTAAAAGTGAACCAGTGCCGAAAGCGAACCAGAGTCACAGGTATGCTGCTGCATTGCTACTTGCTGCTGTGTATTGCCAAACGGTTAGGATTACCTGCATAAAAAACATGTTAAAGTCTTGTCTTGAGATCAATGGCTGTGTCTGCTGGCAATGTGTGTGTGTGTGTGAAAGAGAGAGAGAGAGAGAAAAGTGGGGGATAGTTGAAAAATATAAGGTGTTTGGTAGTGCAAAAAGGTGGGTGGAGGATGAAAGCAATGTAAAGGGAAGGAAAATGGGGGAATTAGATTGCAAAAAGGTGTGGTGATTGGACTATGAGGGTAGTCAGTCAGTCATGCAAGGGAGAATATTCAAAATCACACAGTAAAAAAGACTATCATTTTATATCATTTGCATGTATGTACGTGTATTGATAGTGAAAAACTTTTGTGAACTGTTTTGGTAATATATATATATATTGATAACCGATTATTTGGTCAGTTTACGTGTACCTCAATTAATCTTGAAATTCTAAAATTAATGACCGGACAAACCTCTGGTAACCCAAGATTTGATATGTTTGAAATTGGTGGGATTCAACCTTGCAACATCTGAGATAGCACTCTTGGCATAAATAAAGCTTTGATGGTGGTAACTGATATCTATGTAGAATAAAAATTTTGATATGGGAGCCTTAGGTTCATTCAGAATGATATGGGAGCCTTGGTTCTATCACTTGAAGAAAAACTTATCAATATGACTTAATGTTTTTAAGACTGTTATAATCACATCATTCTAATATATAATTATGTATAAATTTTCAATTTGCGAATCAATTTTCTAAACAATAAGACATAACAAAACAATCTTACAGATATTTTGGTTATATTCACCTTATTCACTTCGAATGGCATTGTGGATTTCAAGGTTATTGATATAGTCGAACAATAGAGGTGTAAATCTAACCCGGCCCATGTTAGGCCTCGCGGGCTCCCCGCCAAAATCCAAGTTGGGTCAGGTCGGCCTGGCCCACAGGCCAAACAATTAGGCCTAGGCCCAAGGGTATTTGGGTCTTGGGCTGGGCTTGACCTTTTTTTTTAAAAAAAAAATTTATCAAAATTTTATTATTTTTTACTAAAAAAGACATTAAGTCTCGGGCTTTGGGCCGGGTCTTGAGTGGACCTTAAGCAGGCCAATGGGCTGGGTTAGACTTCAAAATGATAACCCAGGCCCAGGGGCTCGGAGCTGGACTCGGGCCCAAGCCCAAACGGGCCGGGCCCACCCCCTTGTGAGTCATTTTTACACTCCTATCGAATAGTAAAGACTAAAATAAGTGGATGAACCAATAAGCCTTGATCGGACTCGGTAAAGATGGACTCATGGAGGTCAAGCTTCTTTCCTCTCTTTCTCAGGTATCGGTATCAAGACACGTATCGACCAGCCAATATTAGACAATATTGGTTGATATATCGGTGAATAATGGTATTGGAAGTTCAAAATCCCAATAGATATTGGCTAATTATTAAAACCTTGCTCCATTGGCTCTAAGGAAAAAGAGCTTCATCGGGTTTCTTTGCTTTTGCAAATGCTGTTGATATGAGGGGTTATATATACAAATGGAACTACAAAGCTTCAAAGCTTGTTCTCTAACTTATTTAGTTATGATTCAGCTTGAACATCATTGTCGTACTTCAACGTTATCATCAACAGTACTGAATGATCAAATCCTGACTAGACAAACTTTAATATGGGTTAATTACCTTTGTTTGCAGTGTTGCAACTGTGTTACAACAAGTTGACTGGAAGCATACCTACTCAGCTGGGGTCTTTGGAGAAGCTCAGCGATCTTGCTTTACAATATAATCAATTAACCGGTGCAATTCCAGCGAGTTTGGGGGATTTGATGATGTTAAAAAGGTTGGATTTGGGTTTTAATCACCTCTTTGGTTCAATCCCAGTAAAATTAGCCAATCCACCGTTGCTAGAAGTTTTAGACATCCAAAACAATACTCTATCCGGCAGAGTCCCCACAGGTAATAATGAAGTATACACAAGTTGTATATATAATGATGTGACTGTGTTGAGACTTATCATTTTAAACGAAGTGCCGATTTAAATGACATTGAATTACAGGAATACTATTGCAATATCATTCTGGTGATAAATTTTGTATAAATAGTATTTTCCTATGTTTTTCCTTACTGCCATAGGCACTCACTTCGATTTTGTTTTTCATATGGATGAAAATGAAGCTCTAAAGAGATTAAACGAAGGATTCGTGTATGCAAACAACACAGGCTTATGTGGAGTTGGTTTTTCTTCCTTGGAAGTTTGTGCTGCTTCGGATAATACAAGCGCCAACAAACCAGAACCATTAGATCCTGACTCAAACGGTCTTCCTAAAACAGATAACCCAGAGGCGGCAAATTTCCAAACAAATTGCACCCATACCCATTGTTCAAATCAGGCGAGAAGGCCACAAATTGCTGTCATATTTGTAGCAATTGGAGTGATAGTTGCACTAACAATTTCCGGGCTTCTCACATTCTTATTGTACCGTTGCCGAAAACAGAAAATCGAAAGTGCTTTTGATACTTCAGATAATCGACTTAGTACTGACCAGGTCGGGGAGGTTTACAGGAAGAGTGCCTCGACGCTCATCTCTCTCGAGTATTCGAATGAGTGGGACCCAATGGCTAAAGGTCGAAGTGGAAATGGGTTCTCTCAAGAAATTCTTGAAAGCTTTATCTTCAACCTTGAAGATGTTGAGTCTGCCACTCAGTACTTCTCGGACGTTAACTTGTTTGGCAAGAGTAGTTTCTCAGTTATCTACAAGGGGATTTTGAGGGATGGTTCTGTTGTTACTATCAATTGCATTGCAAAGAGTAGCTGTAAGTCTGATGAAGCTGACTTCTTGAATGGATTGAAGGTTTTGACATTGTTGGAACACAGAAATCTTCTTAGGTTGAGAGGCTTTTGCTGTTCAAGTGGCAGGGGAGAGTGTTTTCTCGTCTATGATTTTGTCCCAAATGGGAACTTGTTGCAGTATCTCAATGTAAAGGCTAGCAGTGGGAAAATTCTTGAATGGTCTACCAGGACATCTATTATTCGAGGCATCGCCAAAGGTCTGTTTATCTTTGTCTACCTACTTTGTGACATTTTTTATATTTCTTTCTTTCCTTGTCTTGTGACTAGGGGTGAGCATGGTTCGGATTGGACCGGATTGGGGGTAAAACCAGGACCAATCCGTTATTTACGGTTCCTAAAAAATTGGAACCAATCCAATCCGTTTAAATCATGGAACCAATCCGAACCAATCCATTTAAACACGGATTGGATTGATTTAGGACCACGGATTCACATAATTAAATAACAAAAAATGTATATATAACACTTTAATTTCATAAAAACATAAACATAGCGCTATATTAGTTCCACAATAGCAACATGTCTTTCTATAATAGCGACATACTGTTCTAAAATTTAAACAACCATAAAAAAATTGGTTTCACCATAAGTATTTAAACCATTACAAATTAAAACTAAAAACTAACAAACAAAAGTTATAAAAGAAGGTATTATGCGGATTTAGGTTTGAGTTTAGGTTTTATATGGAATAAGAGAAGATACTATGGGGAGAATGTATAATAAAAATATAGACTACTTGTATACAGTTCGGATCGGTTCCAATCCGGAACCGTGGGGTTCAATCCGGAACCAATCCGTGGACTACGGATTTTTAATTGTTCAATCCGGAACCGAACCACGGATTCAAAAAACCAATCCAAACCTATCGGATTGGACTGGACTGGATCGGATTACGGATTTCACGGATTCCTTACTCAGCCCTACTTGTGACAATGGTCTAGTCCTTGATTTGTGAGCATTTATTTGACGCCACATTAGGAAACACTCACAAATTTGATTGAATAAAAATAAAAATAAAAACTTCTTATCCAATGCCTAGTAGCAAAAATAAAATAAAAATTTGTTGATTGATGGTAAAAATAAACCCTCCTGTCCAAAGGCCAAAGAAAATGAAAAAAAAAACTATTATACAAGGGCCCCTCAATAGTATAAAGCTGATAAGAAACTTCTTTGTCCAAAAGCCTTGCATACAAAATTGCCATATCCAAAGATCCAAAAAATTAAAAAAAAAAAAAAAAACTCTCATTGTTCGAAGGCGAGTATAAAATAAAATTTTCTTATAAATGGCCCATATAAAAAAAACTCTCATTGTCCAAAGGCCCCTAATAGTAAAGGCTGTGAATAACTTCAAATTTTAATTACAAGAGAATAGAACAGAAAAATGAATTTCACATTGAAAAGTTGAAAAAAAAAACAAAAACAAAAAAGAAAAAGGTACAACATGATTTTTGCATTGCAAAGAGTAGCTGTAAGTCTGATGAAGCTGACTTCTTGAATGGATTGAAGGTTTTGACATTGTTGGAACACAGAAATCTTCTTAGGTTGAGAGGCTTTTGCTGTTCAAGTGGCAGGGGAGAGTGTTTTCTCGTCTATGATTTTGTCCCAAATGGGAACTTGTTGCAGTATCTCAATGTAAAGGCTGGCAGTGGGAAAATTCTTGAATGGTCTACCAGGACATCTATTATTCGAGGCATCGCCAAAGGTCTGTTTGTCTTCGTCTACCTACTTTGTGACATTTTTTATATTTCTTTCTTTCCTTGTCTTGTGACAATGGTCTAGTCCTTGATTTGTGAGCATTAATTTGACGCCACATTAGGAAACACTCACAAATTTGATTGAATAAAAATAAAAATAAAAACTTCTTATCCAATGCCTAGTAGCAAAAATAAAATAAAAATTTGTTGATTGATGGTAAAAATAAACCCTCCTGTCCAAAGGCCAAAGAAAATGAAAAAAAAAAATATTATACAAGGGCCCCTCAATAGTATAAAGCTGATAAGAAACTTCTTTGTCCAAAAGCCTTGCATACAAAATTGCCATATCCAAAGATCCAGATAAAAATTAAAAAAAAAAAAAACTCTCATTGTTCGAAGGCGAGTATAAAATAAAATTTTCTTATAAATGACCCATATAAAAAAAACTCTCATTGTCCAAAGGCCCCTAATAGTAAAGGCTGTGAATAACTTCAAATTTTAATTACAAGAGAATAGAAGAGAAAAATGAATTTCACATTGAAAAGTTGAAAAAAAAACAAAAACAAAAAAGAAAAAGGTACAACATGATTTTAGAGAAAATTGAAATGTGTTCATCAAAGAGTTTGAGGAGGAACTCTTTATGTTGAATTTACACATTCAACAACCTTACTTTCACTTTAACCATGGCTGAAACTTTTTCTCATGGTCAATGTTTATTTGATCATGAACTTGCTCCTAAAAACACCCTTAGCCTTCAAAAAGTAGTAAATAACATCCATTTGTTTTAAGTAGGGACAATCTCCTTACGTTCTTTAAGTTTTAATATTCTGATGTTGATGTCTATTTTAAACCAGGTATCGGATACTTGCACAAAGAAAACGGAAGTAAACCTGCTTTACTTCACCGAAATTTATCTGCTGAGAAAGTGCTCATCGACTTACAATATAACCCATTGCTCTCCGATGCTGGCCTACACATGCTCCTGGCAGATGACATTATATTTTCCACACTCAAGGGTAGTGCAGCAATGGGATACCTTGCCCCTGAGTACACTACCACTGGCCGGTTCACTGAAAAGAGTGATGTATACGCATTTGGTATGATTATGTTTCAAATCCTGTCCGGAAAAAGCAAGATTACCCAGTTGAATCGTCAAGGGGCTGATTCATGCAAATTCGAAGACTTCATTGACAAGAATCTTGATGGAAACTTCTCGGAACCTGAAGCGGCTAAGTTGGGTAGGATTGCTTTACTTTGCACACACGAATCTCCTGATCATAGGCCCGATATGGAAACTGTGATGCAAGAACTAAATGAACTCTGCATTTGCTGAATTCTTTATGAACACAAGTTCTTTGGTATCTTATTTCTCAATCCCATGTGTTTTTTTAAACTTATTTTCTAAACCCAAGTTGTTTTATAAAATTGTGTTTTGAAAACCCGATTTTGAGCCTCGAAGTTCTGTTGTCAAAACATGACTTGAAATAACAATCTGGGTTCGAGAAAAAAGCTCAAAATGTCCTGTATTTAGGTAATAAGTTTCAAACAACTCAGGTTTGGTAAATAACTCGATGTTGAATGTTCCAATTATTGTAGTTTGTAGGTAGAGAGGGCCTATTATAGTACCCGTTATGCGATTTTGACCTTGAATGCTTCTATCACTGATCTTTTTGAGCTAGACTAATCTCATTAGAGTTGTTATTTGTATATTTTTTTTTTTCATTTTGTCATTAGGCTGAAATTTTGAATTACTTTATTCTCCTTTTGTAATATTTAGTTGTGACAAGATAGCTTGGAAAAGAAAATGAAATGCTTCAATGTGACAATTGTTTGGTGAATGAGATCAATGCTTTTTGAGTTGAGATGAGGCTTGATGTCCAGGAATTGTTGGATGTTAACAGGGTAATTCAAAACTAAAATTTCTTTATGGAAACTGGGCAATTCAAAACTAAAATTCCTATTGCCTTGTTAATAGAATTCTTTTTTCTGTTTTAGTTACCAAGAGTGGTAGCCTAGCAGGTGGGAATTCACTTTCACTATGTTTGGTGAGCAAGTGACTCTGGGTTCAAGTCTCTATAGGGGCAATGGTTTCCATACACTTTTTCTTCTGGTTCCTGCTTGCTAGGATCCTGTTGGGGCTAGAGTCAAGTTGTGGTTCACATCTGTCTTGAAGGAACACTTGCGGTTCCCCCACTTTATTGGGGCCATCTAGGCCCTTTTTGTACAGCTTTTCAGTGGGCGAACGCTATTTTGGTCACGCTGAAAGAAAAATGTTACGGTTGGTCACCCATTCCTACTGTGGGACTATATGTATGATATTCTTTCCCCACATAAAAGCTCTTGTCAACTAAAATTGAAGTCTGAGTTTTCACAAAGATCACACATTTTGTTTATGTTTGGATTCTAGATTTGTCAAGTCAAATGAAAAGGAAAAATGAACGGTCAGGCAACCCACGAATGTTGCATCTAGTTAAGATCTATGTTAAATGAACTCTTCTATTTCTCCCACAATATCTGTGTCCATCGAATATGACATGCGTAAGGGTGCGGGATATGTGTCCGACACTCGTACGCAATTTAGACACTCGGATCCTTTAATTTGTTACAATATATGAGAAGAACAAACTCACATTTGCTAGTAAAGTAATATTTTTAGCCTCACACATGAATTATATATAGAATTTCATATTTTTCTTGAATCGTATTCAATTTCAAGTATATTTCTATATAATTTACAACATTTCATCCGAGAATATATGTGTATATGACACGTCTCCGTACCCATATCCAATTTTGGATACGTATCTCAAGATCTTAAGATTTAAATTTATGAAGGTCTAATGCTTGGATACACACTCGCATCTGATACTTGTACCCGAGTCCATATAACATAGGTTAAGATGTACTCGGTAGACCTAGCGCAAGCATATTAATTCTCTCAAAGACAAGGCTTGGTGGATTTAGCATTCGGGTCCTATAATTTGTTACACATAGAAAAGAAGAAATAAGAAATCTTAGTGAAGACTATGAGTAATGTTGTTGGACTCAAGTAACAGTTTTTAGTCTCCTTTAAATGAGAAATCATATTATCAAAGCTTAAGCATAATTACTCAATATGATTAAGAAATCTTGAAAGAATAAGGAAGTTCTCAGTGCTATCCTAGGGCTAGTAGTGGTATGGTCATGGCAATTGTGTTTCTAGCATTGAGCCATTGCATCTGTATTGTAATGAACTTACAGAAAGTAGCAAACAATCTAGACTTAGAGTTGTGCAATGTGTACTCTCATCATTCCTCTTCAACAGCTACATATATTTTACCTAAATTTTCTATACAGTTGGTGAAGTTTGTAAACAGTTAATACAATTCAATGTTTAGGGAGCACAGATTGGTATTCTGCCAATAGACCACAAAACATTCTACAAAACCATTCCGTTTAAAAATTTCAAGAAAAGTTGCAAAACTCTCCCAAAAAAATTCGGAAACTGAATCTCGATAAACTAATTAAAAACGAGGGCTCAAAAACCAAAATGAAAATTAATATTATAGCAACATAAACTGCACATTGTTCCTCCACACAGTTATGATCTTAGGTTACCATAGAAATGTACTGGATGGTACAAAAAATTGCATAACTGTGTTTTTCAGTAATTCTTAAGTTCAGAGAAATGTATTTGACTAGACATTGACAATCCAATGAATTCAAATTGAATTGCCCTCTAAATTTTTTCTTCCAAAATTTACAAGTAGATGGGTAAAATCCATATGGTGTACAGGGTGTAAGGAAGACAGTAATGCCATCCAACCAACAAAGCTACAGAGTTGATTGTTAAATCTAAGCTTATCATTATGAATATATGTTATTACCAAAAACTAAAAAATGAAAAGAGGGAATTCTAGATACTTACATTTGGCTTACAACAAGCTAGTTAGTTATCCACCAATGAATTTCTAACTTCAAATCCATCATTTCCAACTCAACCTCACCTTCAGAGCCCACAGTAGGTGACCTATGAATTCAGTGCATAAAATCCGTCTAACATTGAATAGATCTCTCCAACTTGAGGATAAGATTTATCCCCGGCAAAGAACTTATGAACAATTCCATCAAGTTCAATCCAACTGCAGCCTGGAATTTTCTTTAGCTCTTTTTCTTTCATCGCTGTCCTCACTTTCCTAACATCATCCCACATACCATAACCGGCATAAATATTAGAGAGAAGGACATAGGCGCTTGAATTACAAGAATCTAGGTCAATAAGATGCTTAGCTGCTGGCTCGCCGATGTTGAAACTTTCATGATTCTTACAAGCACTGACCAAAGTCCTCCAAACCACATCATTTGGTTCAATGGGCATTTCCTCAATAAATTTCACAGCTTCTTTTATGCTTCCTGAACGTCCAAGGATGTCAATCATGCACCCGTAGTGTTGGAGTTTAGGCTCCACCTTGTGAACTCTTCTCATAAGCTCAAAACACATCATACCTTCCTTCACCAAACCACCATGCCCACAAGCATTTAAGATTCCAATGAACGTGATATCATCTGGTTCTACAGAAAGCCTTTCCATCTCCATGAACAATTCAAAAGCCAATTCACTTGAGCCATGAATGGCCAATCCACCAATCATAGCATTCCAATGATCAACACTTTTGTGCTCTACATCCTCAAATATCCACATGGCATTCTCTATGTTGCCACACTTGGAATACATGTCTATGAGGGCAACACCAAGTTTTCCACCCAAAACAAACCCTTTTTCCTTTATGTGGCAATGTATTGCTACCCCTTCATCAACGTGTCCCAACTGCCCGACTGCAGAAAGAGCAATTGACAAAGTGGTATCGTCTGGAGACAAATTACCCCCACTTTGCATATCACAAAAAAGTTTTAATGCTTCCTTGCAATACCCATTTTGAACATACCCGGCCATCATAGCATTGCAAGATATTACATCCCTTTCATGCATTTTATCAAATAAAGCCCTAGCAATATCAATCCTACCTGATTTAGCATACCCATCGATCATAGTGGCCCAACTAACAACATCTCTTTTTGGCATCTCATTAAACAAAGCACAAGCAATTTCCAACTTCCCGCACTTCACACAGCCATGGATCATCAAATTCCAAGAAATCAAGTCTTTTTCACGCATTTGCTCAAACATCTCCCAAGCAACCTTAAACCCATCTTCTGATTGCGCATACCCACTAATCATAGAATTCCAAGAAATCAAATTCTTCATCTCCCCTGGCATAAAATCAAACAACTCGCGTGCCAAATTAACCATCCCACACTTGACATACCCATCAATCATCGAGTTAAACGTAACAGAGTCCCTGTTCGGCATTCTATCAAACACCTGGCGAGCAAATTCAAGACACCCACATCGCAAATACAAACAAATCAAACAATTCTGCAAAAACACATCAGACCCAATTTCAAATTTCTTCATCAACCCATGAATCTGCAATCCTTCCTTAATCAAACCCATCCGCGAACACGCTTTTAAAACCAAAGACAACGAAAACTTGTCAACACAAACCCCATTCTCAAGCATCCAAGACAACACAACAACGGCTTCTTTGGGGTCATCGCCATGAGAAAATGACTTGATTACTGCATTCCAGAGGAAAGGATCGAATTGGGTGCTTCGGATTGGGTGTGAATGGTGAGAGAAGAAAAGGTAGCGAGCGAATTGAATGAGAGGTGCGTGTGGTGAAGAACAGAAGGTGAGGATGAGCTTGGTGGAGAGAGAGGTGTTTCTGATGAACCCAGTTGTGATGAGACGAGCATGGATTTGGTTTACATCGATTTGGGTTTTGCAGATTGGGAGGAGAACGAGTGTGGGGAGTGTTGAGTTCCATGGTTGGTTTGAGATTGCGCAGACAAACATTAAAGTTGAAGTTTTTGGAGCTTAGATTGTGAGTATCACTTTTTCAGACCAAACAAAATCAGAATCGTTGCGCGATTAGATTTCTACTTTAACGGTCCATTTAACGGTTGAGGGACAATAAACCCAGATCAATAGCGCGTGAAATTTACGTTCCAATTGCAATACAAATACAAATACAAAATCTTGGCGACCAGAAAATGAATTGTATGTTGATTTTGTTTTAGAAATGGGCTATTTTAATTAATTTTTTTTGATTTTATATATATATATATATATAATAGGAGATTTTTTTTAAGGTCCTGGTATTAAAATTTTATAACATAAAGGATCTCTAATACTTTCATAATGTCTAAAGTCCCTCAAATTAAACAAGAGAAAATTCAATCCAAATTAGAGAAATTCTCTTTGATTTACTTATAATTTTCTTTGATTTGTTTATCATTTTCTTTGCCTTCAACAACAACAACCATCTAGCTTTGAATTTCTCTAGTTCAAACTAGAGAAATTCTCTTCAAACCAGAGAAATTCTCTCTGATTTGTTTACCATTTTCTCTGTCTTCAACAACAACAACCATTTGAATCAATCAACCTCAACTGTTGATTAAACAATAGATTTAAGAACATACACCTTGCAATAAATGTTAAAATCATGCAAGTTTATAATACTCCCAAGAGTCGATTCATTGTACTAACAAAGAACTTGTTACAATATTTGGTTTTGAAACAATTGATGCAAATTCTAATGATACAGACAACAGGATTTAAAGAAGACATCTATTTTAGCTGGTATTTTACTATCAGAATTTCATTTATTCCTTATCTTTTGTTTATTTTTTAAAAAGCTAACCTATCCAGACAAAACATGATTATTGAACAAGCAACAATAATCATGTGAAGGACTAAGTGAAAAATGAAGCTCAAGAACAAATTAACTGATCCTCTACTTGATGCAGACTTAAATCTATTGTTTGATCCACCCTCTGCAACTTTAATTGTTGCCTGAACTTGTTGATGAAATCATCATCCTTCACATCAACCTGTTCATCTTCTATAGCCTCTGTCGAGACTGTACTTGTCCTCCTCGAAGTGAGCAAAAGTCGACTTGGTGCTTGCTAACTTCTAAATCTTCGCCGAAAGCTTCTCTGGCAACTCGTCAGAGATGGGGTTGGCGTCGAACTTGGTCCTGTTCACGTGATGACGGTAGACCTCGTCTAGACTCCTTGAATCATCTTCTGAGATCGCTACCATGAGATCCAGATCGTAAGTAGGCTAAGGTTTGGTTTGGGCAGATGAAGAGAAGAAAGAGAGAGAGAGAGAGAAGAGAGAGAGAGAGCAGGAGTGGAGTAGTTCTGGGTTTGTGTGTTGAGTTTGTTAGGTTTCGAACAGATAGAGAAAGATTTTGATGTGAGAGTATCAAATTTCTCTATGATATATGGGTGTGGGATTGAGGGACCTTAGACTAATTTTTCATATATAATAAAAAGAATATTTAATTTTTTTCATAATTATTTTTTGATTTTTTAATTAAAATAATTAATTTCTGAAACAAGGTTTTTTTTAGAACACAAAACAAGCCTTAATATAATGTCACTCACATCCAAAATAAATAAGTAGGTGTTTGGAGTAAACTAAAAAAGTATACTTTTTTTACTTACATATACTTATTTGGATCACATCAATCAACATCTCCTCTCTACTTTTTTAACCACTTTTTCTACTTTTCTACATATATATATATATATATATATATTTATAAAAAATAAAAAAGTACATTTATTTAAAACATTCCAAAATTTATACTTTTTGAACTACTTATCATTATTATTGTAAAAATAAAAAATAAAAAATCATAAAAATCACAGACTTTTTAAGTTATGTTTTGTTTTTTAGTTTATTGGTGATCATCAATTTTTATGAGATATGACATTAGGTTCAAGGATTAAAGATTGATCATTTTTGGTAATAAAGATATGGTTAATGAAATTATTTGTTGAGAAAGATAAATTATTGTTTTAAATTTTTTTTTCTTTATTTTTATCCCACCGTCATCAGACGATTGTCGAAGAAGTCACTTGTGCCAGAAAGGTCATTGGAGGTGGCCGCAGGGGCGACTTGTGGTAATAGGGACAGATCGATAGATTAGGTAGATAAAAAAGTAATATCTATGGATGATATTTGGACAAATAGACAAATAAATATGAAAAATATTATTTTTTCAAATCATTTTTTTCTTTTGAACTCTAAAAAATTTTTGAAATTGAACTTATGGCTTGACTCTTTTTTATTTTTTTATTCTTTAATACATAAAAACACAAGTATATAATCTAATCCAAGGAATGTGGGGAAAGGGGCTAGAAAGCGCAAACATATGGGTCTAACGTGCAATCGTCCACTTTGTAACCAAATTTTCTACTACTAACCTCCAAATGCACTCGTTGGACGGCATTATATTATTAGATGTTGTCGAGTCTGATTTTAAAGTGTGTGAGTAAAATATATATATTTATTATCATAAAATTATGGAGTTTGCAATATTGATTGGAGTCAATACATTTTTTAGTAAATTACACTGACACCTTTTAAGATTTGATTTAATTACATCTCACCCCTTAACATTCTGGAAATTATATTCTCACTCCTGTTGTTAATGATCTCATTTCACAAACCCCTTACTTATATAAAAGATAACAATTCTTATAGTAGAAAAATAAAAATTACATTGAAAAGAAAAAAGTAAAGAAAAGGAAAGGGGGAAAAAAACAGAGAAAGTAAAGCAAAGTACGAAAAGAGAGAATGCATTAGTTCAATATCTTCATTTCATTTAAATAGTTACAACGGCAGGGGTTAGTGTAATTTCTCAAATGTCAATGAGTAATATGTATCAAACTCAAACCTTAGGCGTGTAAGTATAATTTACATTTTTTGAATAAGAAAGATTATTTTGAATCAATCACATATTGTCTTTTATTTGCAAGTATATGAACAATTTTTTTTTTTTTTTAGGTACATCGGAAATAAAACAAAAACAAAGGCCTAAGCTCTTTCTCTAGCTCTACCAATGATATCTGCAACAAGCAGACTCCATATCTCAGTTGGTGGCTCATTCACGACTAGGATATCTTCTGGTTGTTCAGCTCCAAGTTTTGCGAGTGCATCAGCACACAGATTTCTCTCTCTGAATACATGTTGCACAGTACATTCACAGCCTTTCATGATAATCTTGGCATCTTCTAAGAGACCTTTGTACGGCGAGTTCGTCTCTATTTCCTCCTTCAATAGCTTCACAGCTTGCATAGCATCCGTCTCAAGTATGATTTTGTTCCATCCTCTTTGTAGCAGAATAGTTAGACCTTTATAGATAGCCCAAAGTTCATTTTCTAAACTTGTACCATGAGGTATTCTACCATAGTAGCCACACAACCATGTTCCCACTTCATCCCTAAATAGTCCTCCAAAGCCACCATCATCTCCTAGCTTCCTGCAGCTATCCGTGTTCAATTTAATCCTACCTGGAGGGGGGAGAATCCACTTAATCAGATTAAAAGCTGGTCTAGCATTAACAATGGCCATGTTAAAGGCTTGGTTGATCTCTTTGGCATAGCTCAAAATAATTTTTACACTGTCTCGACTAAGAGTCACAGTTTGTTGAAAAATTTTTTGATTTATGTTTTTCCATATTTGCCAAAGACAGACAACAAAAATAGTATACCAAGTGGTTTGAGCATTAAAATGAGTTTTATTTCTCGAATTGGAGATAAGCCAAACCAGCCAAGGTTCTTGAATCATGGCAGTATACCAAGGCCTACCAAACATGTCACGACCCGAACCCGCTCCTATGGGTTAAGGCCATAACCGGCCAGCAATCACGAGATTACCTACGGCCTCAAACCAAATAAGACAAGACTCATCAGAGTAAAAGGGGCCAAACGGAAGCAAATTTAAAACTTTATCCATAGACCCGTGCTTATATACACACCATAACATTCCATATATACATATGTTAATAACTCACAACAGAAAGTGTAATGATAAGATTCTATACAGACAGGATCATCCAAACTAAGTCAACCCATGAAAACTATATACAGACGTATTCAAAACTTCGCCAACCTGACAAAATGTGAATACATAACAAAAGGGCGAAGACGGGTCTCGTGCGTGAGACACAAGGGCTGACTCTCTCAAAACCTTAGTTGTTCCATACAGACTTCACTGAGGCTGGGTCTGGACTTTTCTTGGCTCACCTACAAACACATGAATGAGCGTGAGCGAAAGCCCAGTGAATAATATCAAATCAAATACAGAAGTTACATAACAATGTAGAACAACATGTTCCAAACGGCCTTGGGCCCAATTCATATTTCTATTTAACAGATATATAACTATACGAAATTCAAATCAAGTGACTGTAGTTCCAAACATTCTGGCCTTTGGCCCAATCAGATTTCCATTCATGTCAAAACGGCCTTCGGCTCATTCATTTCTGTCAAAACGGCCTTTGACCCATTCATTTACGTCAAAACGGCCTTCGGCCCATTCATTTCTGTCAAAACGGCCTTCGACCCATTTGTTTACGTCAAAACGACCTTCGGCCCATACATTAGTGTCAAAATGGCCTTCGGCCCACTCATTCATGTTAAAACGACCTTAGGTCCATTCATACATGTCCAAACGACCTTCGGTCCACTCATTTCTATCAAAACGACCTTCGGTCCATTCATTTTTGTCAAAACGACCTTCGGTCCATTCATTTACGTCAAAACAGCCTTCGGCCCATACATTCGTGTCAAAACGGCCTTTGGCCCACTCACTTATGTCAAAACGACCTTAGGTCCATTTATTTCTATCAAAAACGACCTTAGGTCCATTTATTCATATCGAAACGACCTTCGGTCCATTCATTCGTTCATGTCAGACTTTTGTCCACAATCCCAATTAGCAACTCATAAAGCTCATCAGGGAATAAACAGTTGGATATTGCTAAGCTTTCAAATATCAATATTACTCACAGTGATCAGCTTGTGGATTTGCCCCGGAGCTTGACCCTACACATTTCATGAACACAAAAGGGTCATTAACAGTTCAATCCGTTCTTTAATTCACATATTCCTCTTTAGGCTTTATTCTT